TAACTACGATCTCGTCAGCATGCAAATCGGGATCGGGTTGAGCACAGCTGCATTCACCTTGTGCCTGCCTCACTTTCTGAAAGGGGTAGTCCAAGCCGGCTTCGATGGGGCTTTTCTGGTCTTGGTCATGCTATCCTACGCAGTCACCATGTTTGCGAGCAGCTACGTGGAGGAGGAGCACCAATTTTGGTATTGGACTCTTGCCGGCTATCTTGTCATCCTCTACTATAAGGATAGCAGATTTGAGGTTGCCGGCAATACAAGCGGTCCCCGTGCCCTCTTGGGTAGCGCAACAGGCACGGCGCTCGCAATCATCCTGTTTGGGGTGGCTCGCCGATGGAGACAAACCGGTCAGAAGTATGCTGGAGAAGCCGATATCATCAGCGAGGTGGTCGCACCGAACGGTTGGATGCTGTGGTTGCTCGTCATGCTTACATATGCCGTACTCTCCCGCAATCTCAGCCGCCGTACTGGCGTCTGGATGGGCTCACCGCAGATGGGCGTCTTGCCGGCACTCGTCTCCATCTCCGCGTTCTTGTTCAAAATCGCTTTCACCGCGGCGGACGCGCCAGAGTTACTGGATTCCTTCCCAATCCTCAATCCGCTGGTGGGGTTCGTTTCCGCATATCCGCTAGTGAGCCTCGCACGAGTCGTTTTCGTCGGCCTCATCCACCTTCTTGGATGCGCGATCTACTACGAAACTCCTTGGAAGAGCGCAGAGCATCTTGGAAAGTTTCTCACAGCATTTCAAGATGTCCTATCTCTGTTTCTCATCACGCAGACAAGGACGGTGTATGTGCCGTTGTTCCTGTTCTTCAACTCTCAATTGTGGCTACTCCGTCGCCGGAGGTGCCATTCCGTCACCGAAGCTGCCACCCTTGCGCTATTGTTCCAGTACGCCTCGTTCTTTGCTTTCGGAGGCACGAATTCCATCTCCACAATTGATCTATCCAACGCGTACAACGGCGTCAGTGGGTACAATGTTGGTGCTGTGGGTATCCTCACTTTCGTCAGCAACTGGGCCGGCCCCATCTGGTGGGCTTTTGGGACATGCCAATTGTTCAGCACTGCTCAGCTTGGAACCGACAATTATTCATTCCTCTCCACGACACTGGCGACATTTGCATGCATCCATACCCTGTCCGTCATGGTCGCCTGCATGGTTCTCCGAGAACACCTTTTCATCTGGACCGTCTTCTCACCGAAGTACCTCTATACCGCTGCTTGGGTTATGGGCCAGCATATCTTCGTCAATGTATTGGCGATTGGGACTCTGCTGAGGCGAGGAAGTGAGTAGCTTGCTCCGCCAGAGTTAAATGGCGCGTTTTAGCCGAAACCTCACGCCACAGGACTCATAGATGACTGTCCTGAACACCATTTCCCTGCTTGGGCAGACAGAATGCGTCAAAGAATTGACCGACGCCTTGCATGTTGTCGATGGGCAACACCTTCGAGACGTCTGTGGGGAGCCAGTCAGCTGGTCCATTGCTGCACAAATGGACTGGGCAAGACTTACATTGATCAGGACGCACGATGACTGTTGCACCCTTGTCCGGGTCAATTCCCAGCTTCTCATACGCATGGCCATGACCAGAGTTGTAATGTTCGTCGTCGACAAATACTTTGTGCAGATCTATGTCGACAAGTCAGCGGTTTTGTCCATTGGATTTCGACCACCTTGTACATACCTCGCATTCTCCATTTTCCCGTTATTGGCCAGAAATAGTCAGGAATCTGCTCTTGTTCCAGCTTCATGCGCTCTCCGGTGAATACCACAATCGGCTCGATGAAGCTATCAATGTCTGCTGAAGGGGCAGTGTACTTGTGGGCTGGACCATCAGGAGAGTCCATGTACTTGGCAATCTGTCGTACCCGCGTCAGTCGCCATCTCCCGGGAACAGAAGGACAGAAACATACCTTCTCCAGTCTCATTAATGTCTCAGGCTCCCCGATCCTGCCGACGAAGAATATCGTCCTCCACCGGCTGTCCGCCTTCAAGGCCCTCACCAGTTGCATGGCTTTGACATCGCAGAATCGGACCACCTGAGCGCTGGGAAGTCTCATGCCAACCACGATCTCTTGCGCGAGTTCTTGGGTGCTTGCGGCACTGGATGTGACGCTTGAATCCTCATATTTGGACGTCAACCCAGCCGTATACCTCCCGGACTTGATGAAACCCTCCCTGAACTCTTCTGGGGTAATTTTCTTTTCGCTGCCTGCCTTGTTGCTCGCGAACAACTTCATGAAGTACCGATCAAAGTCGATCAGATCAGCCGCTGTCTTGCCTCTCTCGACGTTATACGTCTTCAACAGCTCTGGGCCCGCCTGGCCCGTCAACACATGCCCCAGTTTCCAACCGATGTTGAATCCATCTTGGAGACTGACATTCATGCCCTGGCCTGCCTTTGGCGAATGTGTGTGAAAGGCATCGCCCGTCAGAAATACCCGATTTGCTTTGGTGAAGTTATCAGCTAGTCTCTGCCCGATGCTATAACAGCTCCACCAAAACGTATCCGCGAAATTCATCTCATAGGGGTAAAAGATCTGCTGCGCCTTCTGATGCAAATCCTCGAGTTTGACCTCCTTGACATTCGTGCCCGTGGGGAACTCGATATAAAAGCGGGTCAAAGAGCCTCCTTCGCGAGGGATCACCAGGAGAGAACCGGCGTCACTGTGGACAGTGACCTTTCTCCGGATGTCAGGAAAGTTAGTCTGAGGGTAGATGTCCATGACGCCCCAGACGGCATCTGTGGAATCCCCGATCATGTTGTAGCCCAAGGATTTGCGGACGACAGAATGTGCACCGTCGCAGCCCTGCAGTGCACCAAGGCATATAATCAGACGAGGCCGCGAAGTCCCCGGGGATGAGATCGACTTACCAGAACATACTTCGCCTTGAAGACCTTCTCGTCGCCACCGTCCTTTGTCGCGACCACCGTGCAAGCATATCCTTCTGGATCCCTGGCAGCCATCTCTTGATCCACCACGACTCTCTTGACGGTCCAGCCGTAATCAATCTGCCTCCCTCCCAGTTTCTGCATCTTCTCCAACAATAGCCCGTTGACCCGCGCCTGGTTGAGGATCAAATGCGGCATGTGGCTCAGTCCCTTCGCCGTGTCAGCCGCGCGATTACTGCGGACGATCCCTCTTCGGCCGCTTCCATCAGCCTGGGACGCGGGGTCAGGGGAAGGCGACCAGAAAGCCACTTCAAGCACATGGTAAGCCTCGCGCAACAGGTCCTCGCTGAGGTCTAGCGACTCGAAGATCTCAACGGTCCGGCATTGGATGCCGTCAGCTTGTCCGATGGACATGGGGGCGTCGCGGCGTTCCAGGACACGGTAGCGTATGGGTTTGGTCCTGGTGGACGGGTGCGAATGGTTATAGATGCTGAGCCAGAGGGTGGCGGTAAGGCCGGCACTGCCGGAGCCGACGATGAGGACATCGATGGTTTCGGGATCCATCGTGGACATTGTGAGCAGTGATTGCGGGTGTACGGTTGTTCAAGCGGTTGTTCGAAGAGTAGTTGGTCACGGGTGATGTCGTACCAACTCGATGGATGGGTTGATGGTGTATAAGTGATCATATATCGGTGGATAGACTGAAGAAATGCTGAGTACGTGTGTGTTTGTGCTGAGGACGTCCGTAGAGTTTTATATCGGAGGGTTGGCTTCATCAATGAATCTTTTGTTCCGCTCCGTTCACCTTCAGCCCGGCCGGATCAGCTCAATGAATAGAAAATGGAATGAGAACCCCTGCGCGGGACTGAGGCGACGGGACTGAAAAGCGGCACTCACGCCAGTATCATCAACTTCGCCGAGATGGGAGTACCGTGTACGGTGCGCGTACGAGGTAAAGACACGGCAAGACGAATAAGACAAATAAGATGTCGATCGACGCACCTGTACTCGTAATGTGGAACGCAATTCCACTCTGCCGCTTGTCCTCTTCCTTTTGCCAGCGCAGTTATAGACCCATGGGCATGCCCAGACGGGTAATCCGCACAGGTAGGTAGGTAGGTAGGTAGGTACCTAGGTAGATAGGCGCGGTTCTTGTTTGCGGTACTCGTACCTTCGTCTGGCGAGGAGTGAGATACAGTATGACTTTGTACGACGCACACCGACCGAGCAGCCAGTCAACTTTGCTGCGATGGGTTCGTCCCCCCGCAACTTAGCCGGCCCCCCTCTGGTGCTTCGGAGGGCTGGATATCGTTCCGGCGGCGGCCTTGCAATTAGTTTCGGTGCTATCCAATCATCGACCCTTGTTCTTGGTGCCTTCGTATGCTGCGGAAATGTTGGTTCTTGCTCGGAACGAAATGCCTCCGAGAGGACGGCCAAGACCACAGGGGGCAGGAGGAGAATGGCCCAACCATTTTGACTATGTATGTATGTGCCGCCACGCGACTCCTGGTTGCTCGTCGTGAGACCGATGAAGGTGCCGAACGGGAGAAATACTTGGGCTTTGGGTTGGCTCGCTGAGTAAGGAGTACAGCACCACAGTTGGTGGCGCGTGTATGTCGGAAGTGGTCCCTTACGGTGTAGACTTGCGGCGGAGACATGGGCGGAGGAGTGGAAATGGATATTTTCTTGAGCTTGAGCGGACGAAAGGCAGGTGGCGACTTGTGATGCCATGAGTATTGCGACGACAGATCGATAGAGTCGGTATGGACGAGCAGGTCGTTGCGATGGAATGACTATCAGTGCCAAACGAAGGTGAAGGTGAAGGTCAAGGTACATGAGATGATTGCGCTACATCTGCCGCCGGTCCTTTATCCACTACCTACTTGCGTCTTAGATAGAAACGGTACGAGAATACCAAATGAATACCAATACTCCGCTCGCAGCCACGCCCTCGATTCAGCCCAGCTGAAATACATACCGTCTCATATCACTCTCTCCGTTGTTCTACCGTTGAGGGCTTCCGCCATGCACACCCGCACTATTCTGGGGATCGTGCCAGCACAGCACACACCGCACGGCCCATCAAAATTCACCAGTTCAGACTCATGTCCAGTTCGGATAGACGTACCACACACGGTAGTCATTTTTGTTGGGTGTTGTGCCTTGATAGTAAATCTCGCACCTGCCTCTGAAATTCCACCCGGCTTTGGGCTCCTTCCGCCCAGTGACGACCAAGTAGAAACATTCTGGCCACGTCGAGCGAGCATTCGACATGTCTGTTTAAGAGTCAACATAAGCCTTCGTCAACGCAGGACACACCGCGCGCCTCACCTCCTTTCCCGTCCGCTTCGTCCAGCCCCGAGGGTTTGCAATTCCCAATGACGCCGGGTCCGGGATGCACATGGTATGCGGCTACAATGTTGGTGTAGCCTTCCGGAATCTTCTTGTACTCTTCCATGTTGACCCCGCTTTCCATGTTGTCTGGAGACGCATATGGTCAGTATCAGTATGGACTCTTGTTCAGCCCGGCAAGCACGACCGTACCTGTCTTGGGCCCGGCGTTCTTGAGCTTGGACCCGTCCGCGGTGGCATAGATGACTCCTCTGTATTCCAAGTTATCTCTGTAGCACCAGTCGACTCCTACTTCTAACAAGCGGCGGAATTCCTTGAGGTCGAACTTCTCCGAGTTGAAAAGATCATGGAGCGTGATGGTGGCCACTGTTCGGACTCCAGCCATGGTGAATGGAAATCAGCAAGAGGAGATGGGGGCTGTTTGATGAAGACGTTGGTGGAAGGACTGCAAGTGCTTGGTCGCAAGAGACAGAGGAGAGAGAGAAAGAGTTTCTATGCTTTGTATGCCAGTGAAGTTTCCCGTGCTTCTTCACCTTCTCCATGACTCTGCACTCGCAGCGGTTAAGCAGCTTATATACGAGAAGGGAAGACAGCACGGTCGCTCTGACAGACTCTCGCTGGCGATCTGTGCTCGTGCTCGTGCTCGTAGCTGTGGCTGGCGTAGACTATCGTTCACAAACCTAGCTTCCACGCCAGCTATCTTGCCAGCACGGTGTGGTCAGCTTCGACGCTCACCTTTTTTTTCTGAATCACAGCTCGACCTGAGGCCGTGGCTGACCTGAATAGAAAGCGATGTTAATGGCAGCCGTGGCTCAATGAGCCTGCCAGACGGTGTACTTCAGATGAATTGGGAAGTCGTCCTCTATATGTGTAACTGGATCCGTTACGAAGAATGGCCCGACTGGAGCTTGACCGGCTTCTCTGCGTCTTCAGCTCTTCAATCTTGATGCAGCGTCAAAGCGGACGAGGTTTCAACGTGGCGTGAAACGGCCATGAGGTTACTGTAAGCGAGCCATGAATCCAGCAGGCTGTGGCTTGCTGAGCGAGGAAAAGACGTGACAGAGGCTCCCTGAGGATGTGCGCCATGCTTCTCTAGGCAACTGTTCAGGTTCAGCCAAGGCAGATTGCGAAATGAGGGATCCGGCCCTGGTGTGATCGAACGCATCTAATCTTATCTCATCTGCTCTGATCGCGCAGCTAGTGATCGACTCCACCTAATCTTATCTCATCTGTTTCTGATCGCGGAGTATGTGACCAATTTTTGAGATTGAATACCACGGCATGCTGCGTTGCACAATTCCAGCAATATGGCTTGAAGAGTACTCGTTCCTTCCCTGGCAGCAATGCCTTCAGCAGATCCAATTCCCGTCTCCGCCATGCCTCTCGTCTCTCCCAGCGCGCTCCTTCACGCCCATCTCAAACAAACCCCTCCACGCCGACCTTCAAACCGCATTCCCTCCGAGCCGCGAGCAATCCAGCTGAACGTAGGCTCATTGACGCACTGTAACGGCTCATCGCTGGTGAAAGTCGGTGCCACCACCATTGTCTGCGGCGTTCGCGCGGAGATTCTTCCCGTCAACGAGATTTTCAGCTTTAGGGTCACGAAATCTTCGGATCGAAACCGAAGAAAACCTGTGCAGCGGAAAGATGGCGGCGAGAGTAGTGACGACGAAGAAGGGTACTCTCCGATCCAACTCTACAATCTACTCGTCCCAAACATTGAGCTCGCGACTGGCTGCTCGCCCAAGCATCCCGCAGGAACAGCGCCTTCAGTCGAGGCTCAGTCAATATCCCAGCGCCTACTGTCGCTACTTCACACATCACAGCTGGTCAAGACTTCAGACCTCGAAATAATCTATACACCACCTGAAGAATCACAAGACCTTGAGCTGGGCATCAATGCAGATCCGGAGCTCAAAGCATACTGGACATTGTACATCGACATGATGTGCATCAGTCACGGAGGATCGATCTTCGACGCTGCATGGCTTGCTCTCGTTGCTGCACTGAAGGACTGTCTGATTCCACAAGCTTGGTGGGATATCGATTCAGAACAGGTTCTTTGCTCTGCAGCTGTCGAACAGGCGAGGAAACTGGAGCTGCGAGGGATGCCAGTGTCTAGCAGCTGGGGCGTCTTTGTGCCTGAAGAGAGATTATTGGACATGCAGGATGAGCAACCAGACCAGTACTGGATCCTCATGGACACCGACGCATTTGAGGAAGAAACTTGCGAGGAGAGCGGATGCATCACGGTAGATTGCAGCAACAATTCAGACTCGATCCTCAGAATCGAGAAAAGCGGCGGCGCTGTTATTGAGATCGAACAGCTTGAGCAGATCGCTGGATTCGCGAAACGACGGTGGCAGCAGTGGAGAGATGTGCTGCAAACAGCCTCAGGCCCTTGAGAGCGTCCATTCGATCAAACTTGGGCGTACGCCCAGGCCAACTTTTCCGAGTGTGCACATTTTGACTACGGGGGCCTAGAGGCGTACTCTGAGCATCCAGTTCTCGACAATACTGCGAGCCGAACAAAACCAGACCTTTGTAGAATCTCTTGAAACCTGCGATGGACGGCCGAATGATGTCCAGCCTTGTCGGTTTCTGCAAGACCTCAGCCGCTGCAAGCGTTCTGCTCGGAATCTCGCTCCATAAAGACCCCGTGGCTCAGGGCGGGAGTAAAGGCTGCAGGAAACGAAGATGATCACCTACCGGTTTCCAAGGACTCAGCCGCGCCGTTCGTGCAGATGCCGTCAGGCTTCACGAGACACTACCAGGGTGGTGGGCATTCCTGCGGTCCCAGCACCGCCATGCTACACCGGCCTACCTGCTTAGGCGTAAGCCATCGTCAAAGATGGTCCTCGAACAATCAGAGACTTCAGATTCGCAAAGGAACGTGCCTTGATTATGAAAGAGTGCCACACATCCGCTACCTCGATCCTCTCCTGGATTCGTGCCTCTATTGTCGGAGAATTATCCCGCTGCGGTCTACGCTGCCTCTTGGCGACCTCGTCAAGAACCTGATCGGTTTTCGGACCGCAGGCATGATCCTTAAGGCTTCAAGATATATCCGCCGAGGAAGTCAGAGCTGGATACTACCGCTCGTATAATACAGAGATTGACTGGTTCTTCAGCATACCAGAAGTCTCCTAATTGTGCGAACTGACCGCTTCACCCCGGCAGGACTGTACTGTACCATTGACTATGCTCGCCCGCTCAATAATAGATCCCGTCCACTCACGCGGCGGTCGTCAAACATGTGGCATTCCTGATTCAGATACGTGAAACATGAGAGATACGGTCTCTCCCGCCAAGACGGTTCACCTCACCAAGCATCAGCAACGCGATTGTGCCTGCTCCGGAGCATGCAATGGGTCAAGACAGAGCTACGTATCTGGCCTTGTCGGAATTCGATAGAGTCTACGCAGGACGTGAGCTCACATAACCAGAGGTTGTGGAACTCGCTGTAAAACGGGAACGAAAAGGCGACGTTGTTACTCCCGTTCCGTGCAAAAACTATGGAGTACTGTACTCGTATTTGCCATTGCGCACCACGGATCGATGGCCTGGAGAAATGCATAAGTCGAATGTGCTCCAGGCGTATCCGACTTCGGCGTCTGTCTGTCGTATGTATGTGTCTATGTATGTGGCGTGTCTGTCGCTGGGTACTGTATCTCTGGGCGCATGCTGAAGTACTGCATGTGTCGCCGTATGGGTCGCCCGTTTTGTACTCTCTACACGTTCCTCCCCATGGATCGAAGTCACGATTCTATTGCGATGGTCATTCCCTGCTCTGGGTCTTGATCTTGACTTTAATTCCGATTTTATATTTTTATTCTTCGCATCTAAGCCACCGGAGGACTATTCCGCATACACGCCCTTACATGCCTTGGACTGCACTGTACGGTTCTATCGTATACTGTACAATCTCCCACGATCCTCGTCTCTGGAACTTTTGACCCCTACCCAGATTCGCATCCCCCGGGCGATCTCTAAATCATGCCCAGATGACGCTCCGCAGATGCAGACGGGAATGCGACGGCGATCGATCACTTGCTACAATTCGCTGTGCTTGATGCCGCCGCCGTCGCCAGCCAGATCGGGCATGCGCATAATCACGACGACGAGGCTCGTCCAGCCGGTGAAATGCTGCGTGCGCTGCCCCTCGCCTGTTTCGGGATTATACTGTTCCCACGCAAAGCCTGTCCGCTGCCACTCGTGGAAGACGGTGTCGACGAGATTCTTGCGCAGGTCGCGGTACAGGGTCGTGGCTTGGGTCTTGACCTTCGCGGGCGCGTGCGCGGCCGTCGCCGTCGAGAGCAGAGCCCTCAGGATCAAGTAGTTCATGTTCACCCAGATGGGACTGCGCCAGTAGTTCTCGTCCGTGGCGTAAAAGGGGGAGGATTTTGAGAGTGAGCGGATTCCATAGGGCGACCAGAGTTCTTGGTCGTTAGCGATCAGGGCGAGAATGTCGGGCAGGTGTTTGTGGTCTGGGGGCAAGAGGCCCGTCATGAATGGGAAGATGGAGATGTAGCCTTTGTGGCACACGTGGATGGAATCTTCGTAGTCGTCGATCGTGGCGTCACAGTAGCATTCGTGCTCGCTGGACCAGTGCAGGTCGTCAATGTTACGAAGCAGGGCTTTGTGCTGGGTGGTGAAGTCGGGGATGTCGTCCGTCTCGTCGAGCAGGGTGGACAGCCGTAGCAGCGTGCGCGACATCATGCCCACCCACGAGATCAGATCTGTGTGCAGTTCGCCTGGATGGGGAGGTTGAGGCCGCGGGTAGTCGTCCAGGCCGGAGGTGAGGATGTGTTGGGGCGTGCGTCCTCGCCAGCGGTATGCCTCTTTCGTGGAGAAGGCTTCGCGGTCGTAGGACTTGATGTCCCCGTGTTGGGTGCGCCGGAACCAGTAGTACTGGCGTTTGAGCAGCGGGTAGAGGTGTCGAAGTTCGGACATGATCCGGTCCCTAGACGATGCGTATGTCGGGTCGGAGGACTTGTCCATCAAAGTGTCAATGATGAGGAAGAGTGTCGGTGGATTGGCGTAGTGAGGATACTGAACCTGGAACTCTACGGGCACTTTGCTGCGTGCTTCGGCACCCAGGATCTGCTCGCGGGCGATCCAGCCATCCTGGTCCATTAGATTGAACCACGACTTGACGATATCCATGGTGACATCGAGATCCCACTCTGCGATGGGTATCAGGTGGAAACCTTCATCCCACAAGAAGCCGCGCGGGAAGAAAGGTCTAGACGGGACACTGGTGAAGAGCTCGGCGGGGGGGTCCTTGACGATTTCGGCACGGGCCCTCGCCGCCGCGGTTTCCTCCCAGAAGCCTTCATTGTCCTCGTCGTACTCCGGAGCATACGACCTGTCGACGAGTGAATCACCATAGAAGTATCCAATCCCGCCAAACAGGTTCGAGAACATGGATTCGGAGAAGTCGGTGTAGACCGATTTGGTGAATGGGGCTAGGGGCTTGAAGACTTCCCTGAACTTCGTCTTGAAGCTCTTTGACGAGTCTGCAATCGCCTGCGTCAGTGTCTCGGAGGTCACTGGTGGGCCCGATGCGGAACTGAACAGGATGTCCGTCTCAAAGCCGCCAACAAATATCCTCTGAACCATGTGGAAGTTCCCGGCCTGCGGATCGTGCTTGATGGCAAAGGCTTGCCAAGGAGGGGGCATGTTCTCCTGTCCATACTGCTGTACAAGGTCCTCGATCTCGCCTTTCATGCTTGCAAAGACGATGTTCTTGGCCTGCCAGATGGCTTCGGACGGCACTTGGACGCTGCTGAGGACCGGCCTATCTAGTGGCTTCAAATCCCATGATGGGTGTGTCTTGTACGGCAAGAGATTCTCCGAGGGGTCACCAAAATAGATGTCGAAGGACCCTAAGTCGCCGGTTTCGCCATGTAGGGTTACTGAGTCCGGTTCTGCGTCCGTGTCCTTGAAGCCCAGCTCACCGAGTCCTTCCATGGCGGCATAGAATACCAAGGTTGTGACAATATTGTCTGGCGCATCTTCTCGTGGTGTGCCCTTTATTCTTGCAGCCCAGCTTCCGCCATGTTGTCCTCCTGGCACTTTGACAAAGTCAATGGTCAGATCGATCTTGTTCCCCGTGTCATGAATGACTTGTCGTCCGCCATTCCGCGCATCGTACTCTTCCCAACCATACCCCGCCATGCCCTCATGTTGTTCGCATGTATAACGGAAATTTTGCTGCGTAGAGGCATAGCTGTCAGTATTGGCCCACAGCAGGCCCGTCAGCAGACTGTTGGGGAGCCGTGGCCGGACGCCAAAGTAGAGATTCGGTCGGTAAGGACCCCATAATAACGTGTCGTTCGAGGCGTGGATCGGGGGGAAACTGAACAGAAGAAGAGTCGCGACGCAGACCAGGAAGCTCCGCAGAGCCACGACACCCCTCGGACAGCTCAACATCCTGTCTTACCACGACTTCCAGAGTCGCACGTCAGCTCGCCATTAGGTATCGTTCTGAGACACCAATGTTGGAGGACATGTGGCCTGGAGGGATGGCGTGAGGGAGGCTATACTCCACCGTACCCGAGTAAGAGCACGGTGGGGCATTCGCAGCGGAACCGACGACGACGATGGATCACGATGGACCGCGATGGACCACGATGAGCACTTGCGCATAAGAACTACGCTATACACAACCATAGACGCAGTATTTCTGGGAATGGCGCACCAAAGTCATAAACATGGGTATCATTAATTGCATGTGAAAAGAAAGGACACCACCAGCACTCATCTCCCCTTGGCCATCTTCAAGCGCAAAAAGCCCGCCAAGTCCGCCGCCTTCACCTCATCTTCTGAGCGGGAAGGGCCCCGGACCTTCAACGTCCTCTCCCCGAGAGCCCCTCCCCTCACGATCACCAGCCAGTATCCCCCGGCACTCTGGCTGCCGTAGGCCCTCTCTAACTCCTCCACAGACCGAACCTCCTCTGACAGCTCGGCATTGAGGCCGCCACCCCACAACAACGACAGCACCTCCAGACACGAGCTCTTCAACACGTTGGAATCGAAGCTCGTGACCAAGATTTCGCTCCTCCTGGTCACAAGCTTTGACTCCGCCGTGGAGCTCGTCGTCTTGGACGGCTTATGAGCCGAGGAGGGGCCACGCAGGTACCCGATGAGGTCGAGTATGTTGAGGCGGAAGCCCGCAGCACGAATGCTGCCCCTGTCAGACTTGGTCTGGTACTCTTGAACCAAGGTGTCGTAACGACCGCCTACGGCCAGCACCTTCCTCGTGCCGCTTTCGGCGCATTGGAAAAGGAGCGAACCCCGATAAAGATACTCGGAGTTGTTGCTGAGTGGCGCGATGAGGATCTGCGCCTGTACCCCCATTCGCTGGAGGTACTCGGCAACTTCATCGAGGCGCCCGAGCAGCGGCAACGCCTTGCTGAGGTAGTCCGAGTTCCCAAAAAGCTTCGACAGCTTGGAGCGCACCTGTTTCAGGTCGCCCTCGAAGTTGAATCGCTTCAAATCTGCCACAGTGGTCTCGGGCACGTTGTTGGCCGGACTGCGTAGTTCTTCACGCGTCTTAGACCAGGCGTGTCCCTGGGTGTTGAGGTGCGACAGTGCTTGCTTCACGTTGGCGGCTTCCAAGGGCTTGACTCGGCAAAAAGTGAGGATGAGATCCAATAAATCAGCATGATTGAGGAGGATAGTCCATTTGTGTGTTGCCAGAGCTGGAAACCCTGTCAGGACTTCGTCAAGGACTTTGATCACTTCTGCTTCTTTCAAGGTCAGGTCTCTTGCGCTTTCAGAAATGAAGTCAAAATCGACTTCAGGGAATTGTTTAGGCTGTGAGCCTGCAACCGTGGCACGATATACCGTCCCGAAGCAATATGTCTTGCCGTAGGATGGGCTCGTTTGTCCTAAGGTGCGTGCTAATGGCAGCGTGAGGTCGTACGGGAGCTGCACAACCATCCCGGAGGAGTCGAGGAAGGTTGCAGCGTTACGGTAGAAGTCAGCTTTGGGTATGATAGCCTGGCGACCGACTTCAGCTGCGCCGTGTCGGCGGAAAATCGCTTTGAGGTGATCGCAAGTCGACATCCACAGCATCAAATCAGCAGACGGATTTGCGGTCCCTGACTTGTCTTCCCAGGCGAGGCTTGAAACAGGGTTATTGGGGTTGGCAAATAGTCTGCTAATAAGCGCCTGGTATTCTTTAGGGTTGTCTGTCGCCATCCGCTCAATGTAGCGCTGGAACTTTTCGTCTTCGAGAGGCTCCGGTACTATGCCGCTCTTGAGCAGCACATCAGCTGTTGGTCTGCGCGTCTGGTCGGGGTCGATAAGTTGTAAGATGATGTCTCCTTGTTGGCGCAAGCGCTCTTCTTTGAAGACTTCAGGAAGCTCTGGTGGGTTGGACTGCAACGCCTCCATCAGCCAATGCCGTCTCTCGCTACCAGTGGTCAGAGCAAAACACATCTCAAAGAATGTGACTCCAAGAGAGTACATGTCTGCTCGGGAATCATAGCTGCTGTTCGCCTTCGCGAGCTCCGGTGCCATATAACCCAACGTGCCAATCTCATAAGACGCTCTGGTCGTGGTCATAGCAGGTTTCTGGTGACCCTCCCGAGAGGTAGCTTGTCCGTAGCCAGCGAGTCCGAAGTCGCCAATTTTAGGTATGTCGTGCGCGTCAAGAAAGATATTCTCCGGCTTGAGATCTCTATGCACGACTCCGTTACTGTGGATGTACGCAAGACCCTCGAGGATGCGCCGAAACAACCGCCAGCCAGCTTCAACATCTTTAGGCAAGCCGCCCATGATCCGAGTGCGGAGGGTTTGGCCTTCGCAGAGCTCCATCTGAATATAGAGCATGGACCGCTCATTCCGTTGTACCAGACGCGATTTATCTGGAATAAAAGACACAGACTTGACTGGTGAATCCTGGCTGATGAAAGGATTGTCGTCACTGGCGAGCTCCTGCACTGGTGCGTTACTGCGCTCAAAAGGATCCGTCCCTTCTTCAGTTTCCTCCCTTTCTGGCTCGGGATCGCTCTCAAATGGATCTTCATCGTCATCGTACCCGTCCTGCTCATTGATCGAGGGCGGATCCTGATAGGCGAACATATCGCCCCCGTCATCGGAGTCGCTGAATTCTGCTCCTTGGTTGGCATAAACGGAAGGCTCCATAAAATCGTGACCAACGCTGACCGGCCCGGTGTGAACGATGGATCTGTGAATGGGTCGTTGAGCGACTTCCTCAAGTAGGTCGTCGTGCTCGCTCTCGTACCACGCATTGTAATATCTCACAATATTAGGGTGATTGAGTTTCGCCAGCAGTGCGACTTCTCGAAGAATGTCTTCGAGGTCCTTGACTGACTTGTTCTTGATCTGCTTGATGGCGTAAAACTGGCCATCCAGCTTGTTTCGAGCCATGACCACTTTGCCATAACCGCCTTTCCCAAGCACGGCGGCCTCTTCCCAGTCCTTACGATATCTAGAGTCATCGAGTTTATCGCTAGAGCGCCTCAAACGGCCGGGTGTGAGCGGCAGGACTTGAGATCGAGTCCGGAAGAGCTTGTCATCCTCTTCGAAAAAGAACTTTTTGCTCCTGAGTTGAAAAGCTGAAGGGCGGCGATTGGCATTTGATCGGAACATCTCTTCTAGCAGCCCCTCAAAACTGGGGGTCAAGTCCACTTCCTCGAGAGCGTCCATAGGCGAGGTGAACTTGGACTTGACGGTCTTCCCTAAAGCCATCTGCATCACAATCACGCCCAGCTCCCAGATACAGGTCTTGCTGGTTCGTACTGGCTCCGTGAAGTTGAGCTCGGGCGCCAGCCAAAGAGGGGGATCATCCGTCTTGTTCTGTGACTTTTCACGAGCTGCTTGTACCAGGTCTCGAAGCTGCGTTCCATAACCGTCAGAGAGCTTGACTGTAACTCCGCGTCTCGGGGATAGGAAGAGCATAACGTTGCCTGCATGTACAGCTGGGTGGACATATCCATGCTTGTCGAAGAACACGAGTGCGTCGATGAGCTCTCTCGTCCAGGCACGCAGCTTAGCTGGACTGAGTGGTCCAGAGAGCTCCAGTAATTGATCGAGTGAGCCCTTGTCCGCGTATTCAGAAAGGATCGAAAGGGACCATCGGCCAGCTCCGTCATCGAAAGCGACATGGTCAATCTTGTAGTTGATCAGGTTGACAACATTATCATCGTGGTTATTTTTGGAAAACTCAAGGTCTGTCTCCACTGTCTCCATACACTTCTGCATGTGGAGTTTCGACGCGGCGGTCTCGGGCAGATAAATATCTTTGAGAAGGAGTTGGGGAGCTTGAACCCGTGCCGCATCCACTCGTGGGGAGACAATTGTGATCTTCTTGTCCTTCCGATTGAAAATGACATTCCTCCCTGATACTGCCTTGAATCTGAATGGCGCACCTGTGACCGTATCTCTGCTGGTCATGGTTTGATCGAAACGGATGACATCTTCCGGTGCATCGTGGAATTCTGGGCCTTCTTCGCTGGTGGTCGACCGGGACAGATTGGTTTTCTGGCGACGCTGATATTCGCTTTCAACTTTCGAAAAGAGCTGCTGCTCGTTCTGATCGGCCTCTTCTTCCTGTTTGCGACGGGCACTTTCTTCCTTCTCCAGTAGTTGCTTCTGAGCTAGCGCTTCTCTTCGAGCACGCTCTTCTTCGAGGCTGAACTCGGCTTTCTTGGCGTTCCTGTCTGCGCTCTTCTGGTCAAGGAAGTCCATGATGGCGGTGTTAATTTCATAGACGACCTCACTTCCCTGGTGTTGTTTCGGATAGGTTGCGACGATGTGTTCCACACGTTTTCTGATCTCAGCATCTTTTGGCTGAATTTCAACAATGTCGATTTTCGGGAGAACTTTCGGATAGTTGCACGGGAATTCGAAGATGAGCTTGACGAAGTAGTTGCGATCTTCAAGCGGTCCAACACGAACCTGAAAGGCTAAGTTCTCTTGAGTCTGTGCTGTGTCAGAAGTTGCTGCTGGCCGAGTGCGGTAGCGTCAATTCCTCACCTTCCAGGCATCCTTTCTCCCCCGGACACGCTCGAACTCGTCAGGATAGATGGCCCTTGTAGTCAGAAACTCGTTGCGTTGGACTTCTGGGTAGCCGGCAATTTCCTCCTCGAAATTGCGGTGTGATTGCCCAAAAGAAGGTGGAGCCTCGACAAGGGGTTCCGGGAGAGGTGGAAACGGGTGGACGTGCGGTTGAGGATTTTTTGTCTTCTTTTTGGCTGGCATGATGAGAGATTTCCTTCAGGCCCCTGCCGGGACCTGGACACCTGCGCTGTGGTCTGAGATTCTGCCGTAAAGTCTTGGCACGTGACGCCTTTGGAGCGTCTGCCCAGGTAGCTGCAGCGATGCTGCAACCACCTAATTCATCAATTTCGTGCACATCATCTTGGTTGTGGAGTGTTTGTCGTGGTGGCTGTGTGTGAGAGAGAGAGACGAAATGTGACGACTCATCGAAAGGACAAGAATCAAGCGCCCGCGAGGCTGAAGATGCCAAGTCCTTTCGGAACGGAACAACTATTCTGCGCACCGGCGGATTTCGACCTTTGATGTGGCTGGATGCCGCTCCGTCTATCGCTCACCAAATGGTTGGTTCGTCTGGTCGTGAAAACGCCGCGAGAGACTTGTCCCTCCATCCCACATCATCTTCATACATCTAGTTCAAAGTAGGTTGCTGGACGACTTGTCCAGACCCCGATCTGCAAGATGGTGAACATCACAGAGAAGATCAAGGAGTAAGACGCTCAATCATACCCAAGCCGTCTCTCGGAGGACTGACCATCTGTCTTAGGATCGAGGCCGAGATGGCCCGCACTCAAAGTGTGTCTCTGCGGCCTATCGTCAAGAGAGCGGTCCGTGCTAACAATATGCAGAGAACAAAGCCACAGGTTCGTGCTGAAGGCTCACATGCGCTGCACAGATTCTGACAAAGCGATGTTGTAGAGTACCACCTTGGGTTACTGAAAGGGTGAGTTCTGACCCTCTTCTTCCTGCACGACCAAGATACAAAGGGGAAGGAAAGACGTGTCACAAGGACAGGTGCCAAGAACCATGCATCTTGTCTATTGCATTGCCTATGGTGATATGTGTTCGAAACCTAGGAGTGGCTAGGATAGCGGCCACCTTGCCGGACACTATGGGCCTCGAGCATCGGAGCACCCACTGGAAGAAGGCAGTGCACACGCTCTGCCCTTCAATATGACTGCAGCCGTCTCGCGGTGACAGGCCTTTGGGTCTTGCACCAGTGGGCATATCACAGCTAACATGGCTACCTAGTAAACTTGCGCGGCTCCGTGCACAACTTCTCGAGCCAGGCCCCGGTGCTGGCTCAGGCGGTGGCGCGGGCTTCGATGTCTCCAAGTCCGGAGACGCTCGTATCGCCCTGGTTGGCTTCCCGTCGGTCGGCAAATCGACCTTCCTCTCGAAGATCACCAAGACCAAGTCCGAAGTGGCAGCATACTCTTTCACCACTCTCACAGCCATCCCCGGCGTGCTTGAATATGGAGGCGCCGAGATCCAAATCCTCGACTTGCCCGGAATCATTGAAGGTGCCTCGGAGGGTAAAGGGAGAGGACGACAAGTCATCAGTGCCGCAAAGGTAGGGCGTCTTTGCTTCATACTGTACCGGATATTTCCATGGAAAGCCCCTCCCAAGACCGCTTCAACGTCCCATTCGCTTGCTTTTCTCTGAGCCGCCACGACACGATTCACCTCCTCTCTCCTCCTACCATGAATGCATAGTTTGTTCCCCCCCACTGACTCACTTAGACCTCCGACTTGATCCTCATGGTCCTCGACGCGACGAAGCGTGCGGAACAACGGGCCCTGCTCGAAGCCGAACTCGAGGCCGTCGGCATCCGCCTCAACCGCGAGCCCCCCAACATCTACCTCAAGGCCAAGAAAGCCGGGGGCATGAAAATCACGTTCCAGTCGCCGCCGAAACACCTGGACGAGAAAATGGTCTACAACATCCTGCGCGACTACAAGATCCTGAACTGCGAGGTGCTGGTGCGCGACGAAAACGCCACGGTCGACGACTTCATCGACGTCATCATGAAGGATCACCGGAAGTACATCCGTTGCCTGTACGTGTACAACAAGATCGACAGCGTGAGCGTGGATTACCTGGACGAGTTGGCCCGGGAGCCGCACACGGTCGTCATGTCGTGCGAGCTGGATCTGGGCGTGCAGGACGTGGTGGAGCGGTGTTGGCAGGAGCTGCGCCTCATGCGCATCTACACCAAGAGGCAGGGCGTGGATCCGGATTTCAGCGAGGCGCTGATCGTCCGGAGTAACAGCTCGATCGAGGATGTGTGTGACCAGATCCATCGCACGCTCAAGGAGACGTTCAAGTATGCGTTGGTGTGGGGTGCCAGTGCGAAGCACATCCCGCAGAGGACCGGGCTGGGCCACGTCGTTGCCGACGAGGATGTGGTGCAGATCGTGAGTGCGTGGAAGGCTTGAGTCTACAGCACGTGGCAGTGTTGTCTAGTTTTAGCGAGCTGTGGAACTGCAGACTCCTCAGGCCCTGACCGAGACGTGTCCATGGCATGGCATGGCACGGCATGGTACGAGGCTCGTGAGGGACTGGCGTCTCGGTGCTTAGCAATAAGAAAACTTATGTCTACCTCATCACCCTCCTCGGATCCAAAGCTCCCACATCCGCGCTCCCTGCCTTCCCGTCAAACACGAATTCACTCACCAGCTTCCCCGTCGCCGGCCCATTCTGGATCCCCCAGCACGTATGCCCGGCCGCAATGAACACCCCCTTGGTGTTCGTCCTGCCCACAAGCGGCCCGCCTCCCCTCTCCACCTGCGGCAGATAACACGCCTGCCTGACAAGCACGTGTCCATCGCGCATCTCGTCCGAAAAGCTGGCGCAATAGTCCACGATGTCCTGGCAGCGCGAGTCGTCGACCTCGACGTCGGCAGTCGACCGAGGGAGGCCGACGAGGTGATCGCCCTCCCCGCACGCGTAGATCTCGTTATTCGGCCGCGCGTAGATTTCGGGCGTAACGTGGCTGACTCGGCTCTTCATCTTCCCATCCCCACCGCCGGCGGGCTTGAACTTCTTGGGCAGCGACAGCGACGTGAAGAGGCAGTACGCCGAGACGGGCCGCGAGGGCCGGATCGTCACGCTGTGTGCCCTCAGTGCCGAGATGGGCGTGCCTGGCCAGACGGTGCGTGTCCACGGGCCGGCCGTGATGATCACGTCTGTGGCGTGTAGAGATTGTGCCTCTGCCTCGCTGCCTGTACCAGTACTGGTACCACTACGAGTATAGTGCACCACGTGCCCTGAGTCGGCTGGTTCGATCGAGTCGACACTGGCTCCGACGACGATACGTGCGCCCCTTTCTTCGGCCAGCGCCGCCATTGACGTCGTGAACTGATAGGGATGGACTTGCGCGGTATCCTTTGGCGAGCCCATACTCTCGTACGCGAGGGCGCATTCCTCCGCCACCCAATCCAGGTCGTCTGGTAGGCCGGCCTTGCGCATGTTGGCGTACGAGGCTTGACTCCTCTTCTGTAGACTCACGCGCGAGCGGTCCGAGTCTGGGTTTGGGTCCGGATTCACATTCTCGTCACTGGCTACGTCGGCGCGATGAATGCCGCGGATGGCATCTCCCTTCCCGGTCGCCTGACCGCTGGGATCGCTTGCATCGGCCTCACCACGGTCCACAACACCCCTCTGTGCGATCACGTTCTCGTGGCCCGTGAGTGGCCGGCCCTTTAGCTCGATCTGACCTACTCCCACGCCTCGGTAGCCCCATCTACGCGCTCCGTCGTGCTCCTTCGCCAGGTCTGCATGGAGTTTGAAACTAAGCGGCACAAGGGCTTGCGGGTACGCCCATAGCGCCAATAACCCGCCGGCTTTTCCTGATGCGCCACTGGCGATGCCCGTCGCTTCGAGGAGGTGGATGCTGTGTAGGTCTGGATTGTACTTTGGGTGGCGAGTGAGGAAGTATGCGGTCGTGCAGCCAATGATGCCGCCGCCGACAACGACGATGTTTTTGCGCTCAGAATCGGCCATGTTGCTGGCTTCGGTGAATGCCGTGCTGAGATCACACTGCAGAGGTTCACGCGGATTGGGATTCCTTTTACTCCGTAGAGTGCTTCATACTCTACTAGCCACGCATTGTCGCTTTCTCAGAGAGGCCACAGTCAAGTCTACAGCGATGACATCATACGCAGTGAGACTCCGACCAATCACACGCGTGCAAAACAAGCCCGCAACAAGCAGAGCCCGCTGCATATGGACTATTATCATATATTGTTGTCAAAGGGGGCAACGAGTGGGAGACATATAGCAATCTTGCCCAGCCCGTGTCCTTGCATGTACCAATTCCTCCTCGGCTTCTTTCTTCAACTCTGCGGGTCACAAAAGCCCGAAACTTACAAGACCACCATGGTGATTCGCAGTTTGGAAAGAATCATAATCGAAACTTGGACGTGGATGGGCTTAGCCCTCGATAATCAGAATGAGTCTGTGTCTGAAATCACTCTCGATAGAGGACTGCGCGAGTCCACCACTGAAGATGCGATATCAGGCTCGACACCGGCTGGGACCTGCAGTTTTGTCATGGGATATTCTGCCAACGCAACGGCGTGTGTTCTCACCAGCATTGCGGGCCGGACCGTCTCAAGAAAGGTGATATCTGTGGCAGCTCAAGGATTTATGATTCCTGGGCGAGGCTCGGTCCGGGAGGACGTGATCCCACGGTGAAAATCAGTCCAGAAGCTCCAGCGTGGATACGGGTTCGTCGTGAGCAACCTCGTCACCGTCGATGCCTCGCGACAGCTCGTAAGTCAGGACGGTCATGTCTGAATATGTGAGCATCAACCTATATCGGCGACTGCTGTCCATGGCTTGCCATGTCTCCGCTCCTGTGGGGATTTGCCACTTTCGGAACTCGGTCTTGGTCGTATGAGGGTCCATTCTGGAAACGGCACAGGAACCGTGCTTCCTCTTCATGTTGTGCCCATTGCCATTCTGACCCTTATCGGGAGTCGAATGCTCTCCTCTACCTCTCTGTTCCTCCACTACCAGTACAGTGGGGTCAAAGGTGGTAGGGACGCCATCGACGACGCGGTCTTTCCCCCAACCGTCCGTCTCCTCCGACATTCGCCTGGCTGAGGATTTCTCACTCTTGAAGTGCCCCTGTACTGGAGATGCCGCTATACCAAGCAGTGGGCTGAAAGGCCGAAGTCCCCTAAGTTCTTGTTTCCGAGTAGGTAGTATCCAGTCTACCCGCAGGCCTAGCGTTCCTGTAGTTGTTAATCGTGTCAACGAGCAGATTGCGCATCGACCTATCTGGGTGGCAACGACAACGATACCTAACTCCGGGATCTGCAGCATCATATTAAGTCTGTCTATATGCGAGGGATGAAAGCCGTTAAGCCGATGCGGTAAAATTTGTTTGAGAATATTGGCACAGAAGACATGTGGAGAGTCTGCTTGGGGAGTCATCAGCAGTCGCAGGTTTGACGCACTGCAGTGAATAGTGGGTATATTGGGTGCGCTGGCCGTGCCGCGAGCCTTGATGACACTCGAGTCATTTATAGTAAACGCAGGAAGCTGGCCTTCCTTCTGACCGTCTTGCCGCGCTCTTAGTGGAGAGTCCATGTCAGATGCAGCTAGGACATCCACGTCAATCTCCGGACTGCGCGGATTTGTCAGGCTCGACAGAGAAGTGGTGCTTCGATGGCCCACCGAGGACGAATCGTCGTCCTCTACCTGCTGCTCTGAGTCGGAATGGTACTCGCTCTCGTCGTCTTCATCAGGAACAAAGTCGTCGTGCTCTTCCAGGATGATGCCTTCGACCAACAGAGCATCGGCGCTCACCGCGTGGTCAAGACCCGTGGATGGTTCCGGTGATATCGAACCGGAGTCTGTCGTCTCGGGTTCTGAAACTTGCTCCAAGATATCACCAGCGCCAGATCCATAAGCGGACGGGCCCGCTCCAGTAGCCTGGCCGTGGTCTGTGGCCAGATCCAGGTTATATTGGCCTTGATTTACGGCCACAGCCGCCTCGTCGAGGTCTGACCAAGAGTCAGGCGTCTCGATGTTGTCGTCCACGTCGGTCTCATCTTCTGTACTTTCCTGCATCAGCGGATGCGCATGGCTGTTGCCCCGCGCCCGGATCCGAACCACGGCTGTGAGATCGTAGCTCTCAAGGTTGTTGTGACCATGGTACCGGGCCGTGTTGCTATGTCCGCAGAACTGTTCCATGGTCTTTGCTGACCGAAAGGACCGCGGGTCCAGGGCCGCCACAAACCAGTTTCTCTCACGCGACCGGTGTCGTTGACGTGGTATAAGGAAGTCGGGGCCCGCTGTGGTCTCAGCGAACACCCAGGACTTCTGACAGATCCCTTGCCAGATTTGCCAGATCTTCAGATTGCCACCGATGTCAGTACTCAGAAGCCAGTTGCCCTCCAGGTCATCGTCTGAATTGACGAAGGAGATGCATGGGATGTGGTGATCATGACCCTCAACACCGGCCAGAGTGATCTTGTAATTTCGCTTCCGTGCCGGAGTGGTGGCAGCCACTCCCATTGCAACCCATTCTTCCCAGTCGCGCTCTTCGAGGTAGGCTTGGCCTTCACCCTCTGGCTTATCTGCTGCCCCACTGCCATGGCTGTCCTCGGTCAAGGCGAAAGCGAAGACGGTGACTTTGGCGCAAGGGTCGTCGCTGGGTGTATTATGAGGTGTATTGGCCGACACCGCAATCATTCGGGCATTACTGTGGATGGCCAGTCCCCAGGCCGATTCATCCACCCAGTGAGTGAAGAATGGTCTGACTCCAATGTAGTCGCTACGGGCATCGGTGCTGAAGCGGTATGGGTCCTTGCGAATAGCCTCGTCAATGGTCTTGGTATAGTAGGCGGTTATATTGCCAGAGTCGGTGGCGGTGAGGAGGATTTCCTCCTTCCCGAGGTCTCCCACGATCAGGTGGTTAACCGCGTGAGGCACCCGTGGGTCAATGTAACCCCTTGCGGTCGGATTCGCCGGAGCAGGAGGAATCAGCAGCGCGGGCAGTCTGTACAATTTCTGGAAGGGAAAATCTGGCCTGTAGACGGCAATGGTGTCTGTTGTGGCTGCAAAATAGAGGTTGAAGCGCTGAGACAGGGCCGTCAAGTTGCACCGCCATGCGGCCAATGGTGGCGGCGCATAGACACCGTCTCGTGTGAACCTCTCCTGCCCGGTCTCAGCACTGGCTAGGCCAACCTTGACCGACTCAAACGGCCTGCGACCATCCTCCATGGTGCTGGGTATACATCGGTTGTGTTGCTCGTACTCGTGCGAGTTGCGGCTAACGTGCCTAAGCTGCTCGAGACATGGCGCAGCCGGATGTGCGCCCGGAGACGCGGAGGCTCTCTTCTTCTTGTTGAGTTTCTAGGCCTTTCCCTGCCCAGAAGAAATCTTGCATGTGATGGATACGGAGTGAAACGCAGTTGGGTGAAGGTCGGTGAAAACGTTGTATTCTTCACCTTAGCATTGGTTGCAACCCACCGAGTAGTCTCGTGCGTGGGGAGAACGAAGGAGAGACGACGAGGCAATGGAGAGGTCAAGAGCCTTAGTATCTGCTGAATGTCAACTGAATGTTGTGGAGGGTCGAGTGAGTGACGGGGACAGGCTGAACACAGGTTACTTACCGTCGCATTGTTGGACATGGAGTGTGGAGGGAAGAGAGTTGAATGAAGGAATGATGAACGCACAGGCGACGTTCAAGTGGCGGCTCGTCAAAGCATCGAGAGCATCTCACATTTTGTTCAAGTCTTCAACTCCCGTCATACTCAGCACCGTAGCTACTCATTACACTCGATTTTTCTGAAGCAGTCATACGCACGCCTGTCCCTGCACTCTTTGATCGCGGTTGGCAACACAGAAACGTCAAGTTGGGAAATATTGCGCACAGAACTGGGCAGCTCTGTGACTGCTCAGATCTTGTCCCCTGGTCACTTGCTTTCGCATTCTGCCAACCGGGACGACACATGCACGTTCTCTCGCATGCGACATATTATCGCGCCCAGCGATACATAAGGACTGTCTACATGCTCCACAGGCCCTCGCCAGTTGACCAGGATTTGCTGAAATAGCAGAACCACGCTGTGGTGGTTGTGACGAGTCAAGTGTTACACGGCATTGAGCTACCCAGATTCAAATCGGATTTCCAACCCCAATCTCATCTTTCAGCTGCTGTGCTGCCGTACTGCTGGAACTTGACCCATTCTGCACGTCGTTGTGCTGCACACCCCAAGATCGTCTTCATCATTATTCTCACCATGGATCTGCTGGCAACTGTCAGAAAGGAAGGCTCGCGTGGCGGCCGCGGTGACTTCAAGTGGTCAGACGTCCAGACGTCTTCGCACCGTGAAAACTACCTCGGTCATTCTTTGATGGCTCCGGTGGGCCGCTGGCAGAAGGGTCGTGACCTCAACTGGTACGCCAAAGCAGATTCCAATTCGAACGCCGAGGAAGACCCCGCCGCCAGAGCTGCCAGAGAGCGGAAGGAAGAGATTCGGAGAGTCAAAGAAGCGGAGGAAGACGCCCTAGCAAGAGCTCTGGGACTGCCCGTGGCTCCGCGGCACAATCCGAACATGGAAGAGCTAGGCACGCAACGCGAGGTTGGAAATGTTCTGAAAGCGGCTGCAGGAGATGAAGACGCTGCAATGTCAAGGGGCGTTGGATATGGCCGACTTGCAGGGGTTTCGGCTCCGGATGAGGGGCAATCCACTACTGAGCGTCTGGAAGGCACCGCCACAGATCAAGACAAGGAGCTTCAGCACGCGCTCCGGGAATACAAACGCCGCCATGGTGATCGAAGACACAGAAGCAGAAGTCGGAGCAGGCACAGACACAGAAAGGGGCACGAAAGAAGACACAGAGATGACCACCACCGCCATAGTGAGCACCGTCACAATGGTAGGTCTCCGCGACGACAGAGACCCGTGCGGGAGAGATCAAGATCCCTTTCGCCCGACCGCGAGCGGGACTACCCTCGTCGTGAGCAACCTCGGAGTCACTCCCCATCAGATCGCCGTCACGAAAAGAACAGGCATGATAGAGAAGGAGGGCGTCAAGGGTCGCGGCGTCGCTAGGTGATGGTTGGGTGAGTGAAATTCGGAAAGCAGTTTCCGGTGCCTGGTGTCAGGTGGATGTGGCTGTTCGAAAACATGTCTCTACCCAGAGCGCTATCTCAAGCCCAGAGCTGCATCGAAGATGTCATCTTCCAGATCCTTGATCTCCGCATCTCCTGTACTTGCAGTACGTCCTCCGCCACCACCGTGTCGGGCGTAGATATCGGCCGACGCACTCGTATCCACAAATTCCTCCAGCTCCTCGCTCACGGTTTTGAGCTTCTCCTTGACAGCGTTGACCCCTTCCACTCCAACAATGTGACGTGCAGGAGGATTTTCATGCCCACCAATAGCTGTCAGGGCATGAACAGTTTCGGATATCAGCTTCTCTGTATGCGCGTGACTGAGAGGTGGATACAAGCTAACAACCTCGTCTCGACTCAGAAGGTAAGGGCCGCTTTGCCTTTCGGCTTCTGAAGATGGAGACTGGATTTCCTTTTCCTGTGCAGGTGAATACTGGGCCCGGATGCCCGGTAGTCGATTCAGCAGACCGTCCACTATGCCCCGGAAGATAGGGGCGGTGTGACCAAATTCTGGGGTATACTCTTTCATTGGCGGTGCTGAGGTGATCTTGTTGGTTAGAATTCCAATCTCGAGGCTCGCTTGGACGATGGTCAACTTGATATTGAAGGGTGCAATTTCATATGCGATGCTGTCGCAGAAACCCTCGAGTGCCCACCCAGAGGCACAGTACATACTCAGTCCGGGAGTACCGAGGTGACCTGTCATCCAGTCAGACACGTACCGAAAGAGTTGAAGGAGCGAGATCGGCCTGACCTGAAACGCCAGTAAGGACGATAGTGTGCCCATTCATTTGTGATCGCATCTGGGGAACGACTGCCTTGATTATGTTCATGGGTCCAAAGAAGTTCTTCTCGAACTGATCGCGCACCAGGGTGAGAGTGCGGTGGTTGGTAGAGAGCTCCTCAACGGTTCCGACAACAGCTTCACTGGTACAGCAGAAGAGGATGTCGACCTTTCGAAATGTGTGCACAGCTTCCGCCACGGCGGCCTGACACTGTCCAACGACTCTACATCACGGTCAGTTCCAGCCGTCGCTTTGGAAGTAAGCTCTAGTTCAAAAGAAAAATAGCGTCAACGTCGACTGAGGGAAAGGATTGGCCTACCTGATGTCCAATGCGACAACTTTCAACCGCTCCTTCATCCCAGGTGTCCGTCCTACCTGAGACAAGAATCGCTTGAATTCTTGACTTCGCGCTCCGTCATTCTCAAACTCGGCTTGAATGATCCCCGAGACGACATAGTCGCCATGTTCGAGGACTTGACGGGCGACCGAGATGCCAATAGGCGAGTCCCCCGAGGTCAATAGCCACACTCGGGGAGCATTATGGGTAGGAAACTGAGGCGTTGGTGTGCCCACTGAGCCTCCATTTGCCATCTGTGCTCAGAGCCTCAGCCTGGCGAGAGCATCGCCTAAAATCACGTCAGATATGGTCTCGTCCCCAACATCGATATCATCGCAATGACATCCAATAAAGCGGGGTGATTTGACTGATAACCAGGGAGAGTCGTGGTCGAACTATGTCGGCTTATTGGCTTTGCTTCTGTCGAGGTAAAGCCAAGAACCACCACCGGGAGGCGGATCAACGTTCTTCCGTAGCCGATAACGGCCCACCTGCGGGACACTCTCAGCATCGACCTCCTCGCCTCTTTTCACTCAGTCAAAGGTGTCCTTGTCGTTCAGACCATCATCGCCTCAGGCACGCCCAAGATGCCCGATTCAAGAACAGGCGGTGCTCCGGCCGCGGGGAGACAAGAGGCAGGCGGCAAGGTAAGCACCTCGACAGAACCTTGTCCTGCCATGCCAACTGACAACCCTCCAGTCATTAGTCCAGACACTAATCCAGGGCGTCGGCATTTTCATGCTCACGCAGTTCGTCGTCAACCAGTTCTTCGGCTCCAAGACACAAAGCACCGGCAGCGCTGGCACGAATCTGAAGCAGAATGTCAATTTCGAGGACAGAGCAGACGTCACGGCCCTCACCAACTACTCTCAGATCCCTCACAACATCGCACCCCTGTGGCCGGACAACAGCGTCGTCGACATCCAGATGTACGTGTCCCCGCAGCTCACGCTCCCCTCGCTAGCGACTCTGCCCAAGGAGAACCTGGTCCTCGATGAGAAGAGCTTCAGAATTGGCAACTACAGCGAGAACCGAGAGGTCAACACGCACATCGCAATTCCCAAAGAAGTCCAACACAATGGTACACTATGGGCGCATTTCTTCGTCGCCCTAGCCGGCAACGAGCTTGACCCGACAAGTCCGAGCTACGACCCTTACAAAGCCGAGTACTTCAGGAAACCGCTGAATCAATACCTCCCCAAGAAAAAGGCACGGAAGTTGAAGAACCTACTTGACAAGTCTGAAAGTGTGGTGGAAGATGATGCCGAAGAATCTACCGGGCCCCAGATAGCGTCCTATTACCACCCGAACTTCACTGTCGCTGTCATTCCCAACACAGGCATCCAAAACTGGCGTCAAATGCACCCGGCCGTGCGTAAGAATATCGTCCTTGAACCCACCGGTCAACGCGACTCCACGGGCCAGAATGGCTGGTACTACCCAGTGATCTTCCTGAACACCTTCTGGCAGCTGCGATCGCACATGACCGAGTTAAACGACACGGTAACCTCGATGCCTCTCAACATCAATCTGTATAACCTCGCGAATTGGAAATACTCACTTTTAGCAAGCATCGACGAAGGTATGAAGCAAAACGCCCAACAAGCCGCAAGTGGGGGTCCGATGCCAGCCTCAGGCGACGGCAGCGAGTTCGAAAAGTTCAAGGAAATTCTCTTGGATACTAACGCATACCTGTTGGGTACCACCTTCGTCGTCAGCATCCTCCACATGGTATTCGAAGGCCTGGCCTTCAAGAACGACATCTCGCACTGGCGCAAGAAGAAAGACAACGTGGGCACCTCCGTACGCACGATCCTGGCGAATGTCTTCATGCAGGCCGTCATTTTTCTGTACCTGGTCGACAACTCGGAGAATACAAGCTGGATGATCCTGGCATCCCAAGGGTTCGGCATCGTCCTCGAAGCGTGGAAAATCACAAAGACAGTCGATGTGCGCTTGCGTGAACCGGGTCCCGACTCGTCGTTCAAGGGACTGTTACCCTACGTAATCGTCTTCGAAGATAAACACAAACTGAGCGAGACCGAAAAGAAAACACAGGAGTACGACCAGATCGCGTTCCGATATTTGTACATCATTGCCGTGCCGTTGTTGCTCGCCTACGCGGTCTACAGCCTCATCTACGAATCCCACAAATCGTGGTACAGTTTCATCATTGAGACCTTGGTCGGCTCAGTCTATGCTTATGGGTTTCTGATGATGGTTCCGAGCCTGTATATCAATTACAGACTCAAGTCCGTGGCACACATGCCCAGCAAGGCACTCACGTACAAGTTCCTCAACACCTTCATCGACGACTTGTTCGCCTTCACAATTCGGATGCCACTCCTCCACAGGCTGGCGACGTTAAGAGACGATGTGATCTTCTTTGTGTGGCTATACCAGAAGTGGGCGTACAAGGTTGACTACACTCGGGTAAACGAATTCGGACAAGGAGGAGATGATGAAGACGAGGAACACGAGGACAACGACAAGAAGGTCGATGGAGAAGCGAAAAAGATACTGGCCGGACAGGATACCAAGGAGCTGAAGCCATCTGTTCCGGTCTCTCGTGCGAGCGGTGCACAGGCCAATGCAGGTGCAAAGAAGAGGAAATGAGCCAGGTGACGAGCTGATCTTGATCGTTCCCCTGTTCAGGCGAATCATACCGCTTAGTTTGAGCACCATGCGGCATGACGACGACGCAGACACAAGGCTCGAGAACATCTCCGACAATGACGTGCCCTTTCGGACACCACAACGAACTGTCGGTTGGGCCACTACCTCACAATTCAGAAGTCCGGCAAGATTGATACCTACAGTCCGCCTAGGCGCATAGCCTCCGACTCACAATCTTGGTTGCATCCGCCTGGACCTGGAGGCAGGATTGTGAGATTGCTGCTTGCTGCCTGCTCGCCTCACCGTCACTGTGACCAGGACCAAATCATTTGCGTGAACCCTGAATGGGTTGGGATCGACATCAGCAGAACTCGACGTATCGGCATAGCCCGTGTCACCAACGTGGCTACCTTTCCATACCATCTTCAAGTTTCGATATATACTGTAAGTGACAATATATAACTTCTTTCGGGCAAGTCAAGTTAAAAATGGAAAACCTTGAGAGCCGCGACAGCTCGTGGGTTTTCCCGCCCGTCCTTCTCTCGCTTTCCCCAACCGATTCCTTGCTTCTTCTTCTTCTTCAATCGGCTTGTCCCAAGTCAGCCAGCTGTATGAGCGGTGAGGCAGAAGGACGGAAGCTGAAACACAGAGACGCAGCTCCGGGGGATTTTTGATGCCTTGCACGGATCTTCACCGCAAGTACGGTCGATGCTTGAGCGCTTGTTCTGATGCCCAGGCAGCCAAAACGTGCTCTCAAATCATTGGGCAGATAACAATTCCAGCAGAATATTCGCGGAAAGAGCGTCGTTCATTCGTTCTCTCGTAAGGGAGTGTCGGGAGCTAGCACGCACGACTTCCTGAAGAAAACGGGGGTGTCTCTTGGAGAGGCTACCGCCATGGAAGACGCAGACTCAGCGCGTGGCCCTTGGGCATTTGTCGCCAGGACTGCGAGCAGTTGATCGCCTTCGCCTTCATCAGCAGCAAGTGACTCAGGCGTGGGGTAGCTTTAGTGGCGACAGCGCGATGGACGGCATGAACATGGCTGAAGGGGAGCCCGAGTGCCATGTGCTTGTTTGTGGATCTATCTTTGGTGCAGACCGCTTGTCCACAAATGGTTCCCACCAATATATGTTGAATTGGTTCACTTTCCAGAGCTTGGAGGATCGGTCTGTGTGCGACATGACCATGACGCATGCTGGCACTT